TTCTGTGCATAACCTGACAGTGACAATGTAGTAAAAAAAAGAAGATGAAAACAGAAGATGGGAAAGAAGAAAAAAACAGAGACCCAGACATAGCCTACCTTAGTATTCAGAGGCTAGACAGAAGCCAGCCGAGGGTGGCTAGTGACAAACAGCCAGAGATGGAGAGGAAGAAAGAGTGCTTCAGGAAGGAACATGCCGCTGAGATAATGAGGACAAATTGGCAGCAAAGAGGACATGGGTGGTCTGAAGAATGGTATCTCTGCAGTAGTGTGCACAAGCCTGAATAGCAGCCCAATGTGGTGGCTCAGGCCTGCAATCTCAGCATACAGGAAAATGAGGCAGGCATAATGTCTCAAAGAACCAAAACAAAAAAAGAAAGAAAAAGAAATCCTCTGAAGCTGGTGAGTGGTGATGCAGGCCTTTACCAGCACTCAAGAGGCAGAAGTAGGCAGATCTCAGCCTGGTCTACAGAATGAGTTTCAGGACAGCCATAACTACACAGTGAGACGCTGTCTCAAAAATACAAAAAAAAAAAAAAAAAAAAAAAAAAAAAAAAAAAAAAGAAAGAAAATAAATCCTCTGAATGAAACCCTACATCTCTAGTCTATCTGTATGTCCTAGAAATCAAAGATAAGGTGGCTAAAGTATCCCTTCCCACAAGTGAGATCACACAGGACCTTTTAAATTAAAAACAACTCAGTTCCACTAGGAACCTACCTCCTTATAATCTCCATTTCTGTTGAGTCGATAACCCTCAGGTGTATGGAGCTGCACAGTTGTATTATTGACCACTTCTACACAGCATTCTTGATCAGGAAAACTCAGTGGGCGCACCCTACAGTACACCTGGAAAAAAGAGAAAGGTGTTTAAACGAGGTTGACTTTTTGCCTGATAATTCTTTTTGGTTTTTCTGTTTGTTTATTGAGACAGGGTTCACTGAGACTGTGTAGCCCAAGCTGGCCTAGAACTCTCAGCAACCTGCCTGCCTGGGATTGCAGGCATGAGCCACCTTGAATGTTGACCACTCACTTGTTTTTTCCATTTAAGCTTTCTGTTCCTTCATCTACAAATATCTGATCTTCCACACAAACATAAACACAGAATCATGAAAAACAAAATCTGCAGCTCAGAATGGTCAAATGAAAAGATGCATTAAATCAAAATAAATTTCAGTTAAAATATTAAACTGTACAGTTTCTCTTCACTGTTGTGCTCAAATAAAATTGTACTAACATAAAAATCTCTCTAAATGCCTAAAAAGGCTATTAAATTCTTTAGAATTAGATATCATTTCAAAGAGCCAGCTCAGGTGGGGTATGCAGCACACACCTGTAATCAGTCACAGCACTTGGAGGGTGGGGAAGCTAATTTAAGGAAAACCTGTCCAGCTGTCCTCTCAGCTGGTGGTGCAGCTGAGCACCAGAGCCCCTGGGCAATGGTAGCGGAGTGCTGGTATTCAGAACACTGCAGAGCACACAACTAGTCTCAGGAGGAAGTATGACTTCCCTGAGTTATTCTACACCAGTCTCTATAAACCTTGAGAATGTGTCAGTTACCACATACAGAGGACAAAGTGGGAGTTTCGAACATTTAACTTTTCAAATTCTAATTGGCGATAGCAGGTGTGGGGTCAACAACTCAAGACTTCCTTTTTCTGGGCTAGTCCAGTAGAGAAAGCAAACTTCGAGGCTAAAGCCAGCCTTATACAGTTTAGTGGATCAATTTAACTGGGCACTCTTTGACCCAGCTTTCCTATCACTTCTTCCCGTTTCAAGCACACACGACAGACAGGGACTAAAGGAAGAACACACACACACACACACACACACACACACACACACACACACACATCTTACCCCAACTGGATCTTTAAGGTTTGTCTGAGATCCTTTTTTCAGTACAGGTTTCCTGGGCACCTTAGCTTTCCTGGTCAAAAACAAAAAACCAACAAACAACCCCAAAAACCAAGACATCAATTTCTGTTCAACACTAACATACAATACTTCACAAATTCTAACAATGGTAATCGAGTCATTAAAACCATGATTGGGAAAATATACTTTTGGTACCAGAAGTACCCAGGAGGGCTTTTGTTTGACTTCCTTCCTTCCTTCCTTCCTTCCTTCCTTCCTTCCTTCCTTCCTTCCTTCCTTCCTTCCTTTTTCTTCAATGCTGGAGAGATTTGCTCATGCTCGGCAGGTGCTCTACCAGTAAGATACACCCCCAGTCTCCTAACTTTTCAGTTTTTATTTAAAGGTTGGTATATTTTCTTGAGCAACAATTTTACAGTCACTACCAATTTGAGAAGTTAACATTTAACTTCATACAGGTGCACAAGCACTGTGCATAATTACCTCAATTATAAAAATGCACACAAATTCATTCTTCGACCATGTATACCTAATGACTATGAATGTTCTTGGTTGGATCTCAAAAGATAGATAATAAATAAATAATCCACCTACTCTGTACTTTCAAGGAACAGTTGGTCACTGAATGACCAAAACTATTATCCTTTAGCCCATGGCCCAAATATGGTCCCAAACAGAAAATTTCTTGCTATTTTAAGTGAACAACAACAACAAAAAAAAAACCATTTTGACTTATTTCAACATTCTCTATCATATGACTTTTTTTTCCTTTCTCATTTATAGACTACAGGACTATTTAACACTAAAATTAAATGAAAGATTGGTATGGACTGTAGATTATGAAGATATTTTTTTCTCAATATAGTCACACATAAAGCAGTAGCAAACTACAGAGTCGGGCAATATACTGGGGTAGGTGTCCTTAAGTCAATCCAAAGACTTTGACGCTTTCTCTTTGAAACAAGTTCCGTTTTTGAGAGAAAGGCTAGCTCCGAGGTAACGATTCCTAAAGCCGACCCTCCCTCGGAGGGCAAGTGTGTAACCAGGACACGGCCCTCCCGAAGTGTCTGGGAATTACTGAGTGAGGAATGTGGGCGTGGGAGGTAGAGTAGGCGAGGGGGATGGCCTGGGGACAAAGATAGCGCCGAGTGCGGGAGCTGCAGAAGGAACCTGACCTCAGGGCTGGGACTAGCGAGGGAAGGGATGCCTGCCCGCGGGGCCGCAGGGACTCAGCTCCCCCAAGTGCCAGCGCACACCCCCGGCTGCGCGCGCACTCCGGGTCCTCACACCCACCCCCTGCACAGCCGGCCCGGCGGAAGGAAGCTGAGGGGGAATGGGCAGCCCAGAGGCTAGCAACCCGGTCACCCCGCGGAGGCGGCGGCAGACAGCCCCGAATTCCGAGCCAGCCTTCGCGGGCTGAGTGGACTGTGCGGGCGTGGGCACCCCGGGGATCGGCGGGCCCCCCGAGGGCTGCGGCGCAGAGGTCCGGCCGGTACGCCCGGGCTCAGCTCCCGGACAAGCCCCGGTGGCAGCGTGAGGAGGGCGGCGACCCCCGCCCCGTCACCTCCCCAGTCCCCTCCGCGGCCCGGTACTCACGCTGGCTTCATGACCACGGGCTCCGTGCTATCCGGAGGACACGCGCGCGGGACGTGGGGCTCCGAGCGGAGCAGGGCTGGCCGGGGACTGAGGGCTGCAGACAGCGGCCGCGGACACCGGGACTCAGTCTGAGGAGAACCCGGCGGCGACGCTGCAAGCACAAGTGTGCGCCCGCCCGGCGCATTTCAAACAGGCCAATCAGGGGCCGCCCCTGGCGGAGGGGCGGGGCCTCGGGGAGCACCGGCGCGGCCAGCGGGGGCGCTGGTCTCCTTGGCAACCCGGGGAAACAGCCTGAGGCCGGAAGAGGGCAACGCGGGAGAAAAAGCCGAGATGGGAAATCCCGGCCCTTCCGTTCAGACGCAGGCTGAGGTCTCCCTGCCTTCGTCCCCAGAACCTCAAAGGAAGTAAAGCCCTTCCCGCCCGGAGTGTTCTACTCTCAGGCTGGCTGGCTGGCTGGCTTCCAGGCCACCAACCACACCATCTTTATCGTTATACAGTATTTTATATTTCATTTTTCCTTTTATACTCGGTAGTGTTTACATTTGACCTTACTTCTCATATTTATTTGTTATTTTGAGACAAGGGTCTCAGGAAGTCCACGCTGGCCTCAAACTGGCAGCGTAACCTCCGGGATGATCTTGAAGACGACACCAATTTGGCCGTCAACCTTTTTCGTGACTTTTCTCCTCGGGGTCCTCCAGCTCTTTCCTATGTATATATTTATTTATTTGTTATTTGTTTATTATTTCGTGGTGCTGGGGATGAAACCCGGAGCCTCACAAAGGCTAGGCAGTTATCCCACTAAGCTACTCACACCTAACCTTCAAATTCTTCATTGCGATGCTTCCTGGACATACAGAGCTGAATGAAATCTACTGGCTGACCTGTGCAACCACCAGAGCCTACTCTTGTCCTCCACGAATTGATTCTATCTCACTTCAGTCTTTGCCCCTATGCTGATGATCATCGAGGATGTATCCATACCTGTGCTCTGCAACTCAAGCGCCATTCAAAAACTTCCTGCAGGGCCAGCACTGATAAGGATAGTCAGTTCAATAGCCATGGTTTAATGCCCATATTACTGGACATTAGTCTTTCCAGTATTTGCTTTTGCACACTGCTGCAATGAATAAGCCTGAAAGCATGCCCCTTTTTATAGGGTGGAGGTAGGATCAATTCCCAGAAGCAGATAGTAACCTAACAGGCTTTGCGACCACCGCCTTTCAATACAGTTCCATTTGAGAGCCCTCTCACCTCTAAATCACAGGTCCAGGTGACACTCTAGAGTGATGTCATCACCCACTGCTTGAGACCCTGATGGGGCCCTGAGGCCACCCTTTCCACAGAGACCTATCACCTGTCCCTACTCCAACACACATGCTTGGGACCTATCTGCCCCCACACTCAAGTCTCTCTGTTGTCTCTCTCTCTTCCTTTCCTCTGAGAATGCCTCCTGTCAGCAGATCTGCCTGCTGCTACCCTGCCCTGGATCCTGGAGCCCCTGCAGCCTGTAATGTGCGCTGTTGATTTCAGCCTCCACCTCCCCACGGACAGCCCGGGTTTACTTTGAGTGCTCTCCCAGCATATCCCCCTCAGCCTCACTAGATGGCACTGTTGCACGCCCAGCGCTTAGCCGTAGGGGCATGGCCCTGAGGTTTGAAAGGCTGCATGGAGGATGTCGAGGGACGTTGGAGGGGCTTTCTCCCTTTGCTCCATCTGCAGCTTTCCTTTCTGGCTGGGTTTTCTCTTCCTTGCTCCCATCCATATTAAAGCCCCCTAGCTTATTCATTTTCTTAAAATTCAATCACTATAGCCCTGAAAGATCTGCATTTCCCTCTAGAATTAGAGATGTAGACCAGGGAAGTATGGAAAAGAGGACCAAGTATATCGGGGAGACAGCTTTCTTTTTTATTTATTAGAAAACATTTTATACAATATATTCTGATTATACTTTTCCCTTCCCACAACTCTTCCCAGACCCTCCTGACCTCTGTACCCACCCATCTCCACACCCTTTCTTTCTTTCCTTCTTCGGAAAACAAAACAGGTGGTGGTGGTAGCTCTCGCCTTTAATCCTAGGCAAGTGGATCTCTGTGAGATGGAGGCCAGCCTGGTCTATAGAGTGAGATCCAGGACAGCCAGGGCTACACAGTGAAACCCTGTCTCAAAAAAAAA